CGCTCGGTAGGCTTTCCGGTTATGATCGGAGAGTTTTCGGTCCCGCTTCGGTAATCGTGGCGCTACCGAGCGTTCCCGACGGCGGTAGCGGACATTCCCGACTATATATTCCCGACTATCCAAAATGGCGGCGCGGATGTACCGACTAGCTATTTTAGTACTTTCCCGTCGCGCTGTGGAATATTTAGGCCGATCTGAACATCGGCAACCCGGCCAATTGTGGAGTTATATTGTAGGGAAGCTCGGGACAGCAAAAAACCGGGTCAAAAACGGAGCATCGAGCAGCCAACGGGAAATGTGCAGTTCTGCCAATGGATCTTTCCACGACTCTTGCTGAGGGTAATGCAATGTAAGCCCGAGTCAAGAGTCGCCACGGCTAGATCCAAATATGCTAAGACCATAAAAAGCAAGACAGTGTATGTGGAAGTATGATGTTCAAATAAAGAGAGAGACACAAGCAGATGTAGTACCAATGTAGGCTGCTAGGTGACCCAAGTACTACAGACCAGTTCAAATCTTTGCATGAAAATGCAGGATATCCTGCACTATCATGCAAAAAGGATTTCTAGGGTCGTCCACGGCAAACCCAAATCTTGACTTCCCTTCAAAGACCTCAGTTAAGCTATACGAAAAACAAACTCTGCACTATCTTAAAACCCTCGTTTCAAACCTTACCTGCATAACATGTCTAATACTCGACTATAATTTGTTATGTCCAAGATAGACAGTTGTGATCTTGATGAAAAACAGATCCTGGCAATTTCAAATATTTAAGTCGCCCCATTTTTAATTTTCTCGGAGGAAGGTAAAATAGGAAACTATTATTGTTGCAGACATACGCGACAGACCTGTTACGTTGTGGTGAAGAGTAGATCACGACCTTGTGAAGCACGATTGTGATCCAGACTCTCCGACATGTTCAACAAACATTTTCACCTGTTCTGTGTTCAGCTTACCTGATGCATGAAGCCTCGGCAAACTTCGACATTTTCACTGCAAGTTTCCTGTTTCTTGGCCTAAAACTGAGGATCAATCCTCGAAAAGCATACTCTCTTTTCTTACCTGGATTAATATGGGAGGCTTGAAACGTCACTCCTATCGTCAGATTCGACCTAAAACGATCAATTATTCCTACAAATGCGTAAGAAAAACATCTAAGTTTCTGCCATATCCGGGCTCTGTCACGTCTGTTCCCTGGGGTCTAAACGGGGCAAAGGTCAACACTTAGCCATTGGTCTAGCAGCGCCATCTAGCGGCAGATATTGTACTTTGTTGTACTAGTAATTGTTGACATACATTGTCGCATGTTGTCGTGCAATAAAGTTCTTCTGTGAATTTACAACCATGGCCGCTAAGTAATACAAACAAATCAAAAACGTATAACGTCCTTGATAAAACATAGACTAGAGAATAACATACAGTGGATCCCGTGTGCTCACTACAGAAACTGCTTTGGGGTTTTAAAAATTTCAACTTCCATAACATCTGGCGCGTATTTAGAGAAGGCTCACAAAATAATGTAACCCTTCATTTTATATATAATTAGCTGACTTATTTCCTTATTATCACAGTGAATGTCCTTGAAAACCTTGTAAGGGCACGAGTTTTCCAGTGCGTGGACAGAGCCTGGTGGACAGGGTAAAGTCATCATCAGAGCCTCTACCAGGCTTCGGGAGGCTGCTGAAACATGCATGCCGAAGGAGTTGGTCCGCTAGAGAGCAGGCTAGAGAGTACATTTTGCAAACTGTACTCTCCAGCGGACCAACTCTCTCGGCATGTTATCTCTCTATTTGCCAATTTCTACTCTTTCCAGCCGCCTCCCGAAGCCTGGTAGAGGCCATGCCATATAGACTATTGCATCATAGTGTACAAGTGGCTCTGGGGGAGGCAAATTTTCCTGTTGTGTCGAGGCGCTACTAAGTTTGCAAATTGAGGATTGAGCTTGGGGTACAAGTAGTTTCCTGCAAGGGATTTAGGGGTGAATCTTTACGTTGGCCCTGTACACATGTCACCATATAATGAAAGAAAGGCAATGGGTCTCATGGAAGTGTTGTGGATGAGCACGAGAGACTGAGGCCTTATAGGGAGAAAAGTTTTCTGAGGGAATACGTTGATTGACACTCGCTATTTGTCCTGCAGCAGTACTAGTTCTGCTGATGAGAACACGAGTTACATTACATTTCTTTCATTATATGGTTGTTACAATGATAGGAAATTCTGTGCTTTATATTAATATCAAGGCAAATTATGCAGAGATTTGTGTTGAGCTAGGATCTAGTAGGACGATACTATTTGGCCATATATTGGACCTGACATATAAGTACGGGCATGACGAAAATTCCATTTCCTAGTCTGGACGGTTTTCCTCACCAAAACAGCAGAAACTATTTACGAATGGACTTTTAAAGAGAAAAAGGTCCATCTCCTACATGAGCATGCCATGCTATTATTAACATGAACTAGTTTGGTGGTGATACGGAGAATTCTCCAGTTCACGAGGAACAAAACGGCAGGCTCGTTCTGCATCTCGTACTGAGTGCACCACCACTACCAGGGGCCGTTTGTACCGCATCCACCACGCACTACTGAAACAATGGTAAGTTATAGAGACTTGTGCACCAGCGGATGAATATTCTATAGCTATGTTCTGTCTAAACTTGTTCATCAATATCGGGTGGTTCTTTTTGACGAAGATAGCGTTGTTGTGTGGACAAAATATTGTGCTTTTCTTAACTACGAAGTTTAAAAAGTGAAGCGGCAAACCTCTATCTTTACCGTAACGGTAATATAGGTCGATACAATTAGCCATGGGTACTTGGGACTTTAAAGAAACGCCTGATGCGCTACGTTTTATCCAATAATTGGTCCAACTTTGATACCGGTAAAGCTGTGTCATCGTTGTTCGCATTTTTGTTGACATCAGCAAAATATGTTGCACGGAAAGACCAAAGTTGTGAAGGTCACAGAGTCCAACGCTATGAAACTTAGTTTTACTCTGCTGAGTAGATAAGAGTTTAAGTGCAATATTTTACTTTTCTTCTGATTCTGTACTTCTTTTAAACAATTTATACCGTTGCTTTGTTGAATTAAGTTGTTTTATGGGGCCGTCGACAGTCGCAAAGCCTTCATTTCTACCGGTTCTGTTAGGAAATTAAAAAATGATTTCCTTTTTTAAGTATATGTTCATGAAGTTGAAGTTCCTGGACGTCACGCATATTTCCACTACAACATGGCTGACAGTAAAGCATCATGAGTTTGCCTGCACGGTTGAATTCCATGCATTCCAGCTTTTAGATCATGAGAACATTTTGTTTTAGGTAAAAAAATGTGGTCAGCTCCCCCTCCCCACCACCATGCCATGTATGGTAGAACAGCTGTCCTTTCCTATCTTCGATATAGACTTGAGGTTTCGTCTGACCTCAAAGACATGAAATGATTTCTAGCGAGGGATTTATATCGAATAGGAAATGTTTCATGGAAGTCTCGGTTTACAGATTGTGTGATAGAGAACCGTAGCAGCACGGAAAATGTAAGAAGCAAAACTCTGCCCCAAACACGATTGATAAGTAACTTAATTAACTTCTAAACGCAATATAATTATTCTCTTACGTAATTCTAATAATGTTAGCAGATTAAGAACCTGTCGCGTTTTTGCGTCCGCAAGATCCCGCACGGTATAGCTCCACGAGGCGGCCCGCAAGCTGAACGCGCACCACCAGAAAGACGCACAAAATTAAAAGCAACAAAAGTACGCGAAAATCACCGTGTCGGACCCTACCCATATGCTTGGAGATTAGTTATTCAATATAATTGTTGCCACTTCTCCCCTGTCCAGGCGAGCAGGAAGGGTAAGAAGAAGGAAGGGAGCAAGCGGCCCCAGCGTGCCTCGTCCAACGTCTTCGCCCAGTTCGAACAGTCGCAGGTTCAAGAGTTGAAGGAGGTAAGCAGTTCACATTACCTGTAAAGGGTTGGGTCATGGATGCGAATATGACTCAGGATTGTCAAGAGTACATCTACATGCACATGCTTGACAATTTCTAGTACAGTTGTAGTTAAGTTCTGAACGGCTAAACCTCAGAACGCTGACTATCAATCTCACTCAATGTCGAACTAACACAGTAAAGATTTCGGACAGATCATGAATTCCCTTGAAAGGAAAACTGAAGTGTTTCAGTTGACATGACGAGGGGAATAGTTTGTTCCCCATGTACAAGTCTGACAGTCGTATTCACACTTCACTGTCATCACCACACACAGGCCTTCACCATGATTGACCAGAACAGGGACGGTTTCCTGGACGTGCAGGACATCAGTGACACGTGGGCTTCTCTAGGTAAGACTGCCTTCTAGGCAGACAAATGACGGAAATGTATCGTGCCGATCATGATTAGCACATCACTACATTCGCACGATTTACAATTTGCAGTAGTTATACAACAGGCCTTTAGGTGTGATTGGTTTAGGACTCCATCCATGTCGATGGTGTAGAAATCGACCAGAATATACAGCGGGACCGCTGATTTCGCCTCTGACTTTGAATGCGTAGACCGGGTAGATCAGAGGCCTGCCGGGGCCCACAAAGCAAGAAATCAACGATCATCAACCAGCGCCCAACCAGTTCTTTAGCACGTCCAACGTCAGGCCATGATACCGACCGTTCCAGGTCGATTTGGCCACGTTAAAACTGACCTCTACTGCAAAATCTACAGACTTATAAATCTATGTCGCGGCTCGCGTTGCAATGCGCGGTGACTGAACCATTCCTCTCTATCTCCAGGGAAGAAACCAGAGAAGGCAGAGGTGCAGAAGATGTGTCAGGAGGCAGGGGGCGCCATTAACTTCACCATGTTCCTGACGCTGTTTGGGGCCAAGATGGGAGGTAACTACTCCCTAGTCTCTACCAGACTCCTGTGCTATAACTGAAAAATAGTAGAATAGGAATGTGGCATGACTAATTTGCCAGGGTTAGATGACCATACCGTTATCACACATTGAAACAGACACAGATAAACAAAAAACAATACAGACTAAGTACTAGTAACTCCCTTGGGGTGAATTAACAAAGAAGATATTTAAGTAATCAGTAATGACCTTGAATTCTCCTCCATGCAGGAACTGACCCAGAAGATGTCATCATGGGTGCTTGGAAGCAGTTTGACCCTCAAGGAACTGGAATTCTTCATAAGGATCAGTGAGTTGTCTGTCTATAAATCCATCACTCATCCTGTCATCTTCCCTATTTTCCATTCATCTCTGCACCTGTTACTTATCTATTCAATGTATCCTTTTTGGCAACCAGACCATTGAGCTATCAAGTTACCCATCTGAGGATTAAGCATCTGATGTTTTATCTTTTGTGGATAGAATTTTGAAATTCAACACTCAAACTCTAAAAAATATGCCATTTTCCAGAGTAAAGCACATCTTGAAGGGAGGTGGGGAGAGATTCAATGATGAAGAGGTATGTATATCAGTGATGTACATGTAATAACAGACTGGTGCAATATGTGGCATATTCATGACATATTCTTTATGGTAGTGGTAATGTCACCTTGGGGTAACATCATATTAAGGATTCTTTTTTTCAAGATAATAGCAATTTCAAACTATATATAGATCCAAGGTTGGCCAAATACATGTAATCAAGAATTTCCTGATATCTAAGTTATCTTAAGTGTTTTTGTAAATAGAAATTAAGCTGCATTGAGCTACTACCTACCTGCATTGAGCTACTACCTGTATAATGAAGAGTAAAAAAAATAATGTAATAAATTCCTTTGTATAAAATTGTGACTTAAATGTACATGGTCCATCTTGCAACCTGATGTTTTTTAGATACCTTATTTTGTTGCTTGTTATGAATTGAATGTCTCGAAATGAATGAATATTTCTCTATGTAATTCCCCAGCTGAACCAGATGTTTGAGGGTGTTGAGAGCTGCTTGAATGAGAAAGGAGAGTTTGATTACCAGGCGTTCACCCGCATTGTCAAGAGAGGTGAAGAGGAAGAAGAATAAACTGAGCCGCTTCTACTGTAATGTGCAAATTATCTGCTGTTATTTCACTATTTTGTTCATAGTTTCACAGTGGTTCTTATAAAGACGTCCCCACTTGTTGATGGTTCATACATATACTAGTAGTGCATAACAAACAGTGTACCTGCATATGTATAAAATTTTTGTCAACTGCATTGATGAGTTAAATGATATAACTTAAATTACAGTGTCAAAGGCTTGTCGAAAATCATTTGTCACACAGATTTTTTTGCAATAAGGTGTTTGTATTGGATTTCATTAATGAGAAATAAATATGACAGAAATAATCTACATTGTACAGCTGGACTGTTGTGTCGATTATTGTTTCTACTTGGGCAGTTCAGAATGATGGAAAGGCCATTACATTTGTCCATTGTTAGCATCAAAATGCCATGAAATGATGAACAAAATGTAAGGAAAAATCTTCCTTTAGGTTTCTGTCATGAGGTGTTCAAGTACAGAATCCCTCATATATGACCAGAAATGCCCTCAGTCAACAATTATTGATACTATTGACATCCTCGTGTCATGCCCCACTAACTACAGTTGAAATCTGTACAAAAAAGTCACTTTGCCACAGCCAACATTTTTCTTACCATTGTTTTAGCAACTAGTCAGCTTCCTACATGGGTAAGTTAGCTGTGACAGACCACATAGCAGAACACAACTGAGTGATTGACGGGGAGGGGGGCAAGGTCATGGACAGAGAGGGCAATTGACACACATGGGAGATTATGGGGGCCATTTGGATCTTAAACAGTCATGAACCCAGACAAGGGGGATACAAACAGTCACAGTGGGGACCACATTCTGGCAACCATGTGGAAAAGCAGTAGCAGAACTTGTTACTCCCTAAAGAAGACGGCTGACTAGTTTCTGAAATCTTGACAGAAAACAAATTTCTTGGTTAAAAGCAGATTTCCCCAATACATTCAGACCACACATTCCTGTCTATTAAAAATGGAGGCAGGAAGAAAATGTTCTCAGCTTTCTGCTGTAGATGAGACTGTAGTTAAGAACTGTCTTCCTTAAACTTTCTCACAAACAAATCATTCAGATCCCACCTTTTATATATCAAGCCTATCACCCCTCAACGAATTCCTGTATGGTATGTTCTAGACAAATGCAGAACATCCAGCTAGAACCAGTTTGCGCAAAACCAACAATGTACGACATGACATCATAGTAAAAATATCCCAGTTTATTCAGTCATTTTCATCATTCCATATGGGATAAGTTACTGGTGATATTTCATGCTTGCTACTGAATGTTCACTGTTTGCATTTAAAATTGTCATCATAATACCTGAGATCAGAGTGGGAGATGGGACCAGGTGTAAGAGGTGTGACTGTGCAAATGCCCACTGGGTCAATGCTGGACCACCTTTAAGTTACCAGTTTCAGTCTTAGATTACTTTTCTACATGCTCTCAAACTGACAGTAAAATCTGATTCTTCTGGAAAATATTGCTTCTATTCCTGATGAGTTGTAGGTAACACAATGTTTCCTGCCCTGCCTTGTATATGTGTGCCCTGTCTGAGAGAGAGGTAGTGCAGGTATGCCCACGGCACATTGCCCTGAGTTGTTGACATGTAACAGAGTTGCAACCTGCATTTAAGGGGAAAATTTTAAACGCCTATTCTGACTCATCTTTGCAAATACGACAATTACTTTGTTTTCAACAATTGAACAGGCATTCTCCCTCATGTATAGATCAGGAGCTGTACAAGGAAAGACATTATATAATACTCTGTGTGTTAGACCACGATCCTAAAATCAGAAATGGAGAGGTGGCTTGCAATCTGTTAAAATGGGCTGCAACAGTCAACCTGGTACGATCGTTTTTGGCCTCTTTGACAGGATATTTCACTTTCTGCTATGTGTTCACACTGAACATGCCTACATCTAGTCATCTACACTATCAACAAAATTAAATTACAACAAATATCTCCATAAATTAAAGCAAGTCAAGGATTATGCCTACTGTGCAGTGATCACATCTCTACTGTGACTCATAAGTAAGCAAAACAGAATTGGCATACACTCACATTCAAATAAAAGCTCTGGCATGTACCATTAGTCTATCCGAGTCTGAAGAGGTAGGACTTATTGTTCATCATAGCTACACGGATACCCAAAGGCCCCAGACATGTTCTTCCTTCGGGACCTTACATCCAATCCCTACTTGTCTCTAGGTTGTGTACTTGTGTGTTAATATTAGGATACTTACAGTATTAAAAGCCCTTCTGGGAGACTTTACAGTAAGAAATATTGGACTTGGCAGTGGAGGCAAGTGGTACGTTCCTTATCTTAAGTGTATGAAACATCTATCACATCATGCCAACTTTACACAGTTAATGTGTTAATGTCACACGCTTCCACATCACGACAACATTTAAAACTTACCTAAAACAATTGTAAGACCCTAACGGTCTCCTGAGAAGTTGGAGAGCCACACTAGGACACTCGTGGTCTCCTTGGACAAAAACGGGAACAGAAAAACATCTTTGGCATTTTACACGCTTAACATTCTTCCTAACTGTACAAGCTACATTGTTAGCTACAGTATCTTACACTAAAAGTGCCTTAAACTACACACTACATGTCACACACACAGTCTTACATATCAGGAGCTCTAAGACGTGATGTTATAAGAAGTAAGTAGACAGTAGTATGATGCAACTATTCCAAGGTAACAGCTAGTACAAGTACAAGTACAGGGACTGAGGTTTACAGGTATTGAACAGTTCTGTCCCCTATGTGACAACCAAGCAGCAGTAACACTTGAAAATCCAGATGGCATGTTGAGATTGTACTGAACTGAGGTAATATGAAGGACAACAATCCAAAGAGATGATCTTTGATACAAATGCAAACCAAATGTTGATCCTTGTCCGGGAGTTTGACCCCGAGACATGCAGCATAGTTCTGTGGTCAGGTAAGTGTGAGGTAGACAGATTGACTTTATGTTGCATACTGAATAACATAGGAAGTAAAAAATCTCTTTGGATTACAATAAATCTTCACTTTTCATTGGAAACAAACTGCTGCTCAAAGATACATAGCTAATCTGAGGATTGCCACAGTTTGAAAGCATATCAAAATAGAAAGTACATGTATATTGATCTGCTTAATGCAGACCTACCTATTGATGTAAAGTTTGAATTGTACATAGTTTGTGGTGTTTGAGGTAGAGGTAGTTATGCCACAAGGTACCCACACAAGATCAGATATGAAGCAAAATACAACCATTCAAATCACAACCCGTAAATAAAGCAGCCGCTGGAGTACAGTGATCCCACCTACCTAGTAGTTATCACACATTTCTGAATATTGGATTGTAACTCAATCACTGTGCACGAGGAGGCCTCTGAGGTAGAAGTCGCAGAGAAGAGAAGAGTGGTCCCTTCACCACTGTAAACCACCATGACTAGAAGCAACTAAAATGTTCAATTCAGATGTATGGCAGAGACCACAAGGGGACTCGGTGGGCTCTGGAAGAAACCATTGCACCAGATGGGGGGATCACGGGGAATCGGTGGGAGAAAGGGATCGCTCCTCATCGATGTGCAGTTGGTCCTCATCCTCAGACTCTGCCATGGCAGCCTCCAGGTGGGACCGCATCTTCTGCTCTCTCTCCAACAGTTCTGTAAGAGATGGAATCTTCTCATTGGTCTGTCTTTAGGTTACCCTTCCAGAGTGGATCAGACTTCTGTGTTTAATAAACACTCACTTTGGAACATTCTTTTCTTCATTACCAGAGTGGATCGGACTACTGTGTTTTATAAACACAACTAACACACACTTCTATTATTCCTGATCACAGTTGATAACAGTTTGTATACATATACTATTGTTTGTAACAGAGGCTTTCGAGTGAAAGAATGTGAGCAATTTACATGGAGAATTGCAGACACAAGCCAATATGTATATCAGGTATGACTTCTAGAGGGAAAGAACTGAAGCTGAGGTGTACCTTCCAGCTGCTTGATCCGTTCTTCAGCCTGCTCCCTGGAAGTCTTCTCCTGTAGGTACCTGGTCTTCCACTCCCCACCATGGTCTGGCAACATAACAGTAACATTTCAATCTTACGGTAAGAGTGATAACATTCTCCCTAGCGGAACAGTAATATTTAACTCTTACATACGATGAGCCAAACAACAGAAACACTGAACTACTTCTGGACCAGCTTTCAACATCCGATATCAGCTGTGTTCCTTACTACATATTAAAATTGTTGACAGAGTAGTGCAATTAGCTATGTAGCATACTGCAATATAAACATCCAAAAATATTTATATATTTCTCTATGTAATAAAAACATGTGCAGGAGGTCATTCATTGGCATTGGGAAAATGACAATGCGGGGACTAGGTATTTGACCACCTTTCTTAATCTTTTTCAAGAATTATACGTTCTGGAGATCTTCATTGTACAACAGCGAGTAGAACATTTCCTACCTGAGCCTTCCTCCTGCTCACGAACACGTCTGAGTTTGTGTGCAGCCAGAGCGAGCAGTTCCTGAGCAGTTTCCAGGATACAGACTGGGTCTGAAACAGTTAATAAGTATGAATATCATCAGTCACAATGCAGAAAATACAGCTTAGAGAACAAGGACAGTCAAAAGGGAAGATTCATGTATTAAAAAAGCCACTTCCATGCTATGATTGGTTGAATTTCAAAGTTATGGAGTTCAATCACTAAATACATCTCTGGATTTCCTTGCTGATTACGGTAACATGTAGTTTAACAGGTATATGTACCTTCTCTCTTGAAGGTGGGTCCCTCTGCGCTGGGGTGGGAGTCATGGTGCTCCCCATTGCCGTTGGTTCCAGAGTGGATGTTGGTGGGTGGGGAGGGTTTGCGCACCAGGTTGAGAGGCTGGGGCAGCTGGGGCAGGCCGTTGGTCATCATCGCTCCCTGAGTGTGGTTGGCAAGCATGGAGGAAGGTGGGGTTTCACAGGAGATGTTATTTCTTCTCCCAACGTTGGCCGTGGTGAGAGACATGGGCCCTCGTTGTTGCCGCAGAAACGCTTCAGCTCGGGGGACATGATGCCCAGCTCCTGCATGGCCAGGGCTCGCTTCCGGTACAGACTCCCCTTCAGCTTCAGCTGGAAGTCCATCCACATCTTGTATTGCTCCTCCGATGGGCTCTCAAGGTCTAACTGCAACACCTGCAACAAGGTGGAGGGAAGTTACAGACAAATCTGAGCTTTAGTTTAGGCCTAAGCTTTATGGCCCTCTTGATATGCCAAGTTTACCAGTAAGAGCTGAGAACTTACAGGATCTAATTTTTTGCACCTTCACACAGACATGACAATCTGTACCAGTCACCTTAACATACCCTATGTCTATTATCACATTCCACTTTGTGGGTACATTCCCATATATTCCAGTATGTGGGTAATGTCAGGACTTGCCTGTGCAGTGCTCTCAATGCGCTTGCCGTACTCGTCGTGCAGATGCTTGAGGAAGGCGGACGGGGAGAAGAAGATGCCACAAGTCTTGCACATGATGCATTTGGAGTCGCTGCGGGTCTGGTACTTGGGGATGAGGCTGCCCTGCTGCACGCCGTACTCGCTGACATGCTTGATGCTGAGCTGCTCTCCCATGGTGCTCTGCAGGCGCTCGGCGAGGTCCTGCTGGGAGAGCTGAGGTAGTGCCATGTGGCCGGGGCTGCTGGAGGCCGTGGTGGCGGGGGTGGACGGAGACTCCTGCCCCTTCATGCCCGGGGAACCCATCTGGTCCAGCTCGTCGTCCAGTACGGAGATGACGTCGGCCAGCTCGCCGCGGGTCGACCCGCCCAGGTACTGTGTGGTGGGGGGGTTGCCGTTGGCGGTGGTGGTTACCGTGTCCCCGTGGGTCGTGATTGGGGCGGAGGATGCGTGTGCAGCTGCAGCTGCGGCGGCTGCCTGGGCGTGTGCTGCCTGAGCAGCTGCCAACTCAGCCAGAGGGAAGCCTTGGAGTGAAGATGCCTTCATGATAGCCCTGGGAGGGGACACAAGGATCACACTGTCATTTTACCTATGACAATTAATAAATGTGCCATCTAACAATGTCAAAGAGCAAGTGGCTTTCTAAGATTGTTTTAAAACATCACTGATTGAGGAAGACCATTAGAGGCTTGTTTGCATTTCATACTTACACCTCTTGAAATGGTTGTTGATAATCGATCTACTGGTGATTCATTACAATCATGACTGATTAACCAATGTGACATTGTTCATATAGTGCCAATTATTTCAGACCTATACACTTGCGCCATATTGGAATCAAATACCAACCTACATTCATGTAACTGATATTGACTGTGCTCTAGAAAGAGATGGTATCCATATTACCTGAAATCAATAGGTGACCCCAATGAGCCAATCCTGCTCCTGCTCCTATAGATACAAATATACAGAAAAGGTTTGAAACACCATTATATAAAACATCATTCAAGATTAATTATGTTTGTTGATATGCCTTATACAACATATTCCCACAAAAAATCTTGGAAACACGCATGGTAAACTGTCAAATATAAAGGCTGGATGGGGGATTTCATTGATTGTTCAGTAGGGTTGTGTACCAGTACATGCATGTGTTTAACAAAAACAAACAGTACTAATTGATTCAACACAAAGACAAAAGCAGATGTTCTTGTTCCCTAATAAGATCTATTTTTGCTAGTTTATTAGTCATTTTCCCTTAGGACAAATGCCCTAGATAACCGAATAAGGGTGGGGGTTGACCCAGGAACTTGACCATTGGACCGTGTGTACCTCAGACCTGAATCTGACTGTTCTGGACCCACCCCTACTGTGTGACAATGGCACATCCCAGGACTGACCTGTAGTTGCGGAAGGACTGACACAGCTTCTCAGCATCTTCTTTGGAGATCATGGAGCAAGATTTGGCATTGTGGTCCACGGCACCTCGCTCCTTCAGGATCATGAACTGGCGTGGAGAGACGGGGAATGCACTCTGCAGGTTCAGCTGCTTCTGCTTGTTGTAGATCTGTGCCGGAGACTTGTATAATACCTGGGGAAAAATAACAATACCTTTCAATAGGCTTTCAAACCTAAAATAAAAATCCTACATGAATACTGTACTTAAAAAAACATGCACATTGTATGTGGTTGCTTCAAAACTGATCAACATGGTTTCAAATTTTAGCTTTTGAGCTCTGTGCCACCAATGTTTGAAAGACACAAAATGATGCCTATACCATACAAATGCCTGGAGAAAAGTCACATTGGCACAATGTGAAGAGAATATAGTAACAATGTTCACCAGGGTACTCGACCACCCAGGAATGTATGTTTAAGTTAGTAATTCCAATTTGTTTGATCCATTAAAATACAGATTGCCTCATGGTGCTGGTATAATGTTAAGAACACACATGCAGACAGCACTCTGAGAACAAATAACAAAAGCCTGTAGCATGCAGATATCAAAACTGTATTTGTAAGCCTGTAAACATAAATGTGATGAAACAGCATGCTAAACTGCTTTGATTCCCTTTTGTATGTTGCATGCCAAGCTTTTCATATGGATCAATATGAGTAAGTGTGTAATATCAAGTGTCATGAGGCAATTTTGTTTTCCAATCCTTTGTTCTTCAGCTTTATTTTAGTTTGACGTCTCCCAGCCTACCATCGTTCTAAACTAGTGTGGTCCAACATTTCAACATTAGCGACACAAAGGGACAAGGGAAGATTTCAGCCTGGCATTATAATAGGATACATGTAATCTCTGACAAGCCAAACAATACCCTTCATACTATGCCATCTGGGAAGTTCCCATGGTCAGCACATGTTTACCACAGAAGGACACACCTTACAGTGAGAACTGTGCAAACACTTCATAGTGATATCTTACACTGGTTCACACAGCTAAACAAAGTCTCTCCCTCTATGACACACACATGCATTTTACTGGCCACAGTGGGTGTTGGAGAGGTTTCTGCTAACCTTTACCAACAGGTCAAGACCCTGGCAAATGACCAAGACTTGGTCAGGCACCAGGGCACCAGTGCAACTCACACACAATGTCAGGTTGGGGCATACTCTGGGCAGCCATTGTTGTGGCTCACTGCTGTTGGTCACCCTGGGCAATGTGGTGGCAGAGGTCATTTCATGCAAGAGTTGCTCGGTTCAAAGACATCTGACCTCTCTCAGAAAATATACATCAGCTCTACATCATTTTTCTGTGCAAGTATCAAACTGACTCACATAATAACCTACAGAAAAGCACCATCCTCAGCCTGTCTTATGTGATGATAAAAATGCAGATGAAATATCAACCCACAATAGGATTAGTATATATAGCTGAAGAGCAGTTCAAGTATGTACTGGGTGGAATGGTTGACCTCACAGGGTCAAAGGAAACTTCATGGGACAAAAAGCGTGACACACCCTTTCTAACCATGGGAAAGTTTCATCATTCAGCGACCCTGTCACACACAAAAGTTTAGTTTTTAGTACCATAGCTAATCCCAGGACAACTAACCCGTATTGTAGCACGCTGGAAGGTGTCATATCAAATAGAGATGTGCACAGCACATGTAGTAGCAAGGCAGTTCAAATGTAATACAATGCTCTATCTGTATTTATGTAGGAAGTGAGAAAGAGAAATGTAGAGACAGAGAGACTACTATCATCTTCCCTTCATAACACATCCATTGTATACCTGACGTCACAGATCTATCTAAGCGTATCTGATGTTGGTATTACATTTTACTTGCACAGCTACATACATGGCCTGAATGGTGTGTCATTATCTCCCTGGTACAAATGTATCCATTTGTGCGGACATTACAGGACATGTATAAAACCTCGGCCATTGGTAACCTGGACAACACAAGCACCAACCATTATATGGAATAAATAGAGAGACCATTTCAAATAAATAACAGCCTTTACAACATTTTCATCACCGTACTGTCTTCTATCTATAAGTTCTAAGAAAGTCTTATCTTGAAAAATTCCTTGTCCAAATCTAGCTAAAAAAATTTAGATCTCCTATGCCAGCTTGCATGATGACAATTAATATTTAGAGCTCCATAACTAAGGGAGAAGGTTATCCTGACAAAGGCATGAGAGCCATAAAGCAGATATAAAACCTACTCCATGTGTAATGAAATACAGTAGCATACTTCTAATGTGGACATTAACCTCTTCCCTGCTGTGGGCTCACCTCAGCACCCAAATTCTACAGCAGAGATGAAATAAAGGTTTTCAAAGAGGGTTACAAAAGGAGATAGGCATAACATGAACATAAGCAGTAGTAGTACTATTGTATGTCTGCAAAGCTGGCTTCATTCGGCTGAGAAGGTTATAACTCACAGTAACATCAGATATGTTCAGATATTTGCAGAGGATGTTATGGAAGACTGCAGGAAAACATTCTGACAAACTGCACTTTTGCAGGTGTATTTCAGACCTTGCAATCAACAGTCTGAGGGACTGTTATCTTTATACATTAAGGTACAAAAATATTTGTATCTTGGCATACAGGAAGCTTTAGTTTAGCTAAACAAAATCCACTTGACATTAGTGGGTTGATATGGACCAATTGGTGGGCATGCACCTTTACTGCTACTGAATCATCCTTTTGCCTTCAGGGTTGCCAACTCTTCCAGCAGTGACACATGGGGTAAAAGATCAGGTCAAAAGGGCAAAGGATATTGCTGATGCATATATACATATGCACAGATGAACAAATACAAAAGACTGTAACAATTTACAAAATAGAACATGGAGTAGACAATGATGTTGTCTTCAAAATCCGACAAGAAGAGACTCTGTCCTCTGGCCTTCAGTGAAATTCACTTACTGTCTGATTTGCTGTTTGAAGCAATTCTATTCACATGCATCCGGCTAATCTCACTGCAAATTATACTGAACACTTATTGACAAAGGAGAGGAAGATTTCCAACGATGGAAGCATTCAAGGACACATACTGCAGATAACTACAATTCATAATTCATTACTAATTTGGTGCCAGCCTTAAGAGGTACAATCACTCAGAAGCATTCAATAGGACTAAAATGGCACATTAATATTGCTCAGAGCAGATTAATCTATATATGCTTCCCACGTAAGTTGACATCTATAGACGCCATGTTGGAATATATAATATGTATGTATTCTAACAGATGAGATTTTTACATTGTCCTTCAACCATGTGCCTGCATCTAACCGCCCAAATTTGTATCGACTACATAGGGATGAGTCAATGTGATGCTGTATTTTTAACATCAGATGATACTAAAATCTACTAATACTTGAACGAGAATGAAACTCAAAACAAAAATATTGATTTGTCGTCTAGAGTAAAATAATAATATAGAACAAAGAATAAATAATATGAATGTCTGCATCTAGTTCCAGATGAGATGTTTTCTTATTTCCATATTTAGCAATTTATAGTACGACCGCCAATTTGTTTTAATTGAACACAGAAACGCTCAGTATAACACTAGGTATCCAAATCAACTTACCAATTTCCGCCATATGAAAATAGGGTTATATATGTCAGGGCGAGGCACTTTCACTGGGCTATCACATAGGGTTTGGTACATAGAATTGCAGCACCTGGTTCTTGTGCTTTTACCTGTAACATGACGGTTACACTTGAGATAACAAATCCTGAAGTTAACATATTGTATCATCCAGGACCATGTGACTAAGATGTTGCAGTAATACAAAAACAGTTCAATCACAGGCATTACGCTATCTAGTCAAAACAATCCATCCATTCAATTTCTTCAGAGAACTTTTTCTTTCCTTGCTGTTGGAATGGAAAATCGTAAAGTTTTCAGGCCTACAATAAACATTTATATAAACATTATATATTTGCACAACTGTTTTATATATTCTGCAATTAACAAAAACAAGCAGATCTGAAAAACTGAACATTCCTCCCATAATTGCCCTCTTGGTTTACAGCTGAGAATTCCTGGAACAGCCATGGAAGTGTCATACAAAATCCAGCTGTGAAAAAAAAAAGTTTCATTGAATGAATGTTTCAAGAGTGGATGAAAACTGCTTATCACTATTTTTCAGTGAACAGAATTTGCTGCAGTCTAGATTCTGATATTCTCAAGCCAAGCTGGATAACAAGCATAGCTAAAATCTAACCTCAGTAACCTGAAATATCAACTCAGCATGTAATGTAATACTAAAGCAATGTTATAATGTATATGTTAATATTTTTGTCATGTCTGTCCTCGGTTGACTTCAATATGTAGTGTAATAGAAGATGGAAAAATAAGACAGTCACGCACACAAGGCTTTGGATTTATTACTTATATTGTACTGATGTCACCATTTTTCATGACCCTGAACCATCTATTTTAGTAAGTTACATAATACTTAATAAACACCCCACCTCTGTTCATAGAACTGCTACAAACATAGGGCAGAGTGCAGCTGATCTGGTAGAAAATCTAAACTACATGCGGTGTAATCTCGATTCAACATTATTCCATAAATACAATGCTGTTCTTTGACATTACATCCATGGATTCTTCTTCCATGCTTGAAGATGAAGGAAACAGTAGAAGTATTATGGTTTCAACCTATCAGCATGTTTAGGATGATTATGGGACCAACAGGCCAATCTACAGAGCTGCTTGTGATTAGTACCAGGCTCCTCCTGATAGTATTTACAGAGGACATTTAGTTTAATGATACCCTATAGATCAGGCACAGATGTTGGATTTGGGGCTCTTCTTTCTCATTTAAATATGTCACAAATGGTGCAGGCAGGACTTCGCCATTTGCATGTCACACCGGAATGAAAGAGGTGAAAATTACCCTTTTTTGTTTCATGTCAAGACAATTACAGATATTGTGTCAGGTTGAGAATTGGGACAGAGGGGGCAGACAAATAACAGAAGGGAGGATGACAGGAGTAAAGTGTGCCAAACTTCACACCATCTGTGCCCAGAAAATTAACCTCTGGTATGATGGGCACCACTGAATTCTTTGGAAGATGGCTTTTTAATGATCTTATCCAACCACACCTTCTTCCTCCATCTAGATAGAAAGGGGACAGACCAAAATTGGTCATGACTGGGGGGCTAACATGGCCAGTTCTGATCTGAACATACTGACTTTGACCGGTTATATACTAGTACTTATACATACTGGGAGGCTACTGGGCATTTTTAGCACAATGTTGATCTGTAGACCTACAGCAGAGTCATGGAAGCACATATCTCTGTAATTAGGTCCACCCAAATCTAGATGTGGTTTACCAAACAAACGGAGGTTCCCATCAATAATGTGAAAACTGGCTGCTTGTATACACATGAGATGAAGAAGTATATACACCCAGGACAGTGAGACATTTGTTTTCGGCTACATCTTGACAACATATGGCAGGTCATAAAAGGTACTAAACCAAACATAGAACGACACATTCAATTCATAGTCAAATGGCCAGACCGGAGGAAATTTCTCATCCTGAATGGAAATGCATTTGGGGGTGATTTCTATTCAATATCTGAATCTATTTTCAGTTTATACATAAGCATTCCTCACATTCGAGGCCAGATTGACAAAAACAATGTCCTGAATGTTGATTGGCATTTTAATCAAGAAATGATATACAGTAGTGATCATTGCACTTACATACTTTGGCAGGATATACAATAAACTGTAAATATTTCTAGATATAACCACCACAGCACATGTGTTACCACTTTCATGTACATGTACTAGATGTGGGATATCACCAAGAATGTTTATATCAATACCTCTGACAAGAATTGAACACCAAGAGCATCCATACATAACTTATCTGTGGCACGTGGCCATGACTGATACTGTTTAGATACAAGCACATTTTGTACTTTATGGTTAAACGAATACTTGTTTCAATTTCTACTTTCTTTTTTTTCAAAATGGAAAAAAAGTGTTGCTAATATGGTTTCAAAGGCAAGATTGTGAAACAAAACATGTAATCCTAATTGTAAGGAAGTGATGACAAAAATTAAGTTTCAATTGACCTCAGAATGTTATGTCAATAAGAAGATGAAAAGCAGCTAATCTTTGCTCATTTAAAGACAAGATGATGAAGATATCCTGAATTTATTTTGCAAATAATGCTGGGTTTCCAAATTATACAAATTATTAAACTACTAGTATACATACAGTCTATAACTTATGAAATATATGAACCATATATATACATATTTTTAAACAAAGCTGACAAATGTGGTCTTCATAAAAAACAGGAATTTCAAAGCCATTAACTGACGATGAGTTATCATCTATCAATATGATCAGCCTATGTTTGGCTGGTGGTGATGTGGTAGAACCAGGTGTCCACCCATCTGACTGAGTCTCAAGGACAGAAACCTTTCCCTTCCGACAAGTGATTTATTATCAACTTGGCCCTGGGACACAACACAACACTTCAGCCTGTTATTTACACTTTCCAGACAGTGTTGTCAAAAGACAAAGAACAAAGAACCAGAATCCTGCCATTCCTACCTGGCTAAATTTTCCACCCCTTTAGAGAAAAATCTGCAATGGTACAGATTTATTTGTCATCTCTACAAAACTGAACAATTTGAAGAAAATGCACAGAAACCATGTATTAAAAAGACTGTGCAGTTTTAACAGCTTTGCACACTTCACCACCACACACAGAATTTTTTCAGTTGAACATACACTTGACCTTCAGACACAAAATCTCTTTTGTGATTGGAAGATATTTTCCACTTCAATGTGTGCGGGATAAAAACAAGTTTTAAAACAAAACAAAATACAGTCCGTCCCAAAAGATACAGCATGTGTAAAATCTATCAAGGTAAAGTTCAACCTAAGCTTTCAAGAAAAAAATTGAGAAAACATGTCAGCATTCATTCATGGCTTTATCTACATATTGGAGAAAAAATTTTGCTCCTTGCAAACAGACCAACTTTCATAATCAACACACACTAAAAAATTGAATGTCTCCAGAGACACCCTCTCCAGTATGTGCCCACACACTGATACAATCATCCAATACTAAATCTTCTGTCAGAATGTGAGAAGCAACACCACATGTGAGAATCCATAAAGGATGTTCCAAATGAATCCCTGGCATCTTCCTGCTAGATCGGTATGCTGTAAAGTTATACATGTCCGTAGAATCTAGGCGATGTCCAAGTTATATACTTGTGTGTAATCATTACAGTCCCGCACCAAAGCTGGCTTTATCTCGTTTTATAGTTATATACACTAGCCTGAGGCTACACAGCTGTTAGCTGATAGTCATACCACAGGCAATACTTCCATTCACAGGGATCTATATTACCTGTTTATCTCTTATTCATATCATTTATAATTTAGTAACAGCCTGTGGCACATTTGCATTTGGGGCCTATTGAATCGCAAAGTGAAAAACATGTCACATGTATGTCATATTTTGGCCCATTTACATGAGCCAGCTATCACTAGTATCAGAAGAATGGTTGAAGCTCTTTCTTCATGTTACATTCTACATGCCTGGTACTAAACCTGGATAGTCAGAAAGCTGACCACTGAGGTATTTATTTATAGTCCAACAAGGCTTTATGTAGATATACCATTCGATGGTGTTTGGTTACTCTTCACCATTTAGACAGAGCAAGAGATGGGAAACACAGCCTTTAATACACATTTCATGGGTGAATGGCAGGCTTCGTATGCAAATTTAGGCACTTGATAACCCTGTGCATTCTTTTATGTACTCTATACTGGATATGTCAAACACAAGGGCTGCAAAAATCAACACTATTCAAATGAGGTCTTTTTGTGCAATGAAGAGCGGGTGGGGTTCACACTTTACTTTCACAGCTTCCTGAAGCCTTTTGACAAGACATGACAAATTTCTATTCTATTCAACACCATCAAATAGTCTTTGAAGTCAATTCTGAGGTGCCAAATGGACAAAATTCTTCCCCTCCTCAAGGATGTTATTGTGATACTTCAAGACGCATCTAACCTTACATCTAATTCTTTCACATTGTTTGCTGTGCTTTGTTGTCCCACTCCCTGGGTTTTGCATGGGAACACTTCAGTGGCGCTACGTTTGCTTACCAAATGGTTAGTTTTACAAGGAACGTTGTTTTGTATAGAAAAGCTGGGGAAACAAGAGTGTTCACTCAAGGCCACTCACTGTGCAAGGCTACACAAAACAAACTGCAACGCAATCTGGCATATTATACATAAAGCCGTACACTGTAACACAGTATGTATTTATACCTCATGTGCTTTAGCAGTCTGTTGTGTGATCCTTACACACACACAGATAAAATCTGTTATCCTTCCTAAGCTTCGAATCCTAGGTTGGAAGGATTTAAATTTCAAATCTAGCTGAGATTTGCATCCTGTACCTATTGTATTCTGATGCATCTTAAAAGGTGGGAGATTTGCATGTGTGAATGTATGCATTTAAATGTGCCTGTGAGATTCCAAGCTGATCTGGAATGCTGATTAATCAATCAGTCAATTCGCACTGGAGACAGATAATTCTTACTCTTTGTTCAGGAGGCTTACAGGAAAGGAAGAAGGTGAGATAAGACAAAGGCATCATAACAGTACACACTTTGAAACTAGCTTTGAAGTTTGATATCCAGACTTTTTAAAAAAGAACCTGATAGCTGGAAAATAAATTTCAAGTAATTGAACGTTCACAAAATACATATATGATAGCAATAAAACATTCATGCAAATGTGGTTGTGCCTAGGGAAAACAATGTTTGGAACAAATCATAGACACTGAAAAAACATAGACGCTGAGAATTGCTTCCTTTGTGTCACCAGGGAGGTTTCAAACAGACAATCTTGGATATAACTAGAAAAATATATACCCATCCCAACTGTATATGTTTAAGTAGATTTTTCACCTACAAATCTACTTTTTCTTTTGCCATTCCTTGAAATATAGGTAATGGTATACTATTTGTTTGGTCAAACTTATCAGTTTGCACCACAAAAATCTTGAAAGGACTAAGAATCAGCTCCTGCTTGAAAGGTTACTCCAGTTCATATAATATTTTCCTCATCTGTTCAACAGTTCTACTGGTCATACAGAAAAAAATCTGGCTTATGTCACACAAAATGTCTTTGTCTTACCAAGTATGTATAAATAAACAACATGGTGAAGAAGTATGCATAGTATCACAGATAAAGTCTGTATCAAAGTGCAGTAACCTTGGCTGACGGCTTCACTTGCAGACCATATCTAACTAAACACAGAAGTCCACACAAAGGAGCCAAGGTCAACCTTTGAAAACAGAGAATGCAATACCTCTTTCTAATAAGACGTTAAATAAATACCAACTGGTCAGGTGCACTGGTAACATTGTGCATTTATGTAAAATTGATTGGTGATAATGGTAAAGCAACTACTAAAGTTACCACGGTTTCTCACCTATTTTACTTGGAAAACTTCAATAAAGATAGAATAGAGAAACCAGTAATAACTTGCCAAGCACGTGATGACTACATACATGTACTATAAAATTGTTGAAAGTATCTTGAAAGCAGTGGGGTTACAGTGTATTTGTGGGGGATGTCAAAAATAATTTGTGACAAATGTCATCATACTGGAGAAGACAAATCTACAGGCATCTGGCAGTGATCATGCCTGCCCAGCGTGACTTCACCTCCTCATGGATAATCACCCATTAAATTTAACTCTCCCACTTTTATGTCACTACAATTATCTACAAAGCAAGACAAATATTCCTGGAGCCTCAGCGGTGGAAAGATGCGGTTATCATCGATTCCATGGATTTCTCAGGGAGGGATTGAATCTGGCTCCCCGAGAAATTCATGAGCGCAGCGCGCACTGTGCAGCACCAGCACACACGTTGTCGCCCAACTAAAATCACATGCACGTCAAAAGTAACGTGAAACGGTACCTTATTCCGTATCTCTGGCAGCGACACATATTCTGTGTCCAGAATTTTGAAGCCGGTGAGTTCAACGCCCCCAATCTCCGTGGGCACGACGTCCAAGTTATCGGGTGCTGGGTTGGGATTCATGGCCGCTTGTCACTGGGTTGGCGTGGAGTTCTAGCTGCTGCAGGACAAGCACGGCAAACGTAACGTTACACATGAAACATGTGGTCTTTTCTTGCGCAGCTGAATGTCGTTAAGTTGATAGGGTTGTAAAAGTGGACAAAAACAAAACGCATTGGGGGAATATCCTGCGCACTCAGAACCACGACTTCCCCTCAAACAAAAACAGCAGCGGTAAGGTTTGCCGTCTACGAAATTGAACTTCGCATGTTGGTTAGAATAGTTATATAATTTTGATACCTGCGGGTATTACACAAATAGCAAAGCTTCTTTTTCTAAGATTATAAGAGCCACAAACCGCAAAGTAAAGCCTTGGGACCATGCGCCCGCTGGAGGTTACGCGCCGCACACGGACTCAGTAAGAGTTTGAGATGTAAATGCAACGTTGCTATTGTCTAAAACGTAAATAACATAGCGGTAAAGCTATTTTCGCATGCCGCGTTTTGTGAAGTACGGCAACGAACGGGGCCAACCAAAGATGCGGATATAGTCACCGATATAGTTCTTTGTGCAACAGAATAGAATATGCCTTAAAAACCATAAGTGAACTTATTGCGACAAAAGTTAAGTGCAAAAGAACACAGATGCGTGCAAACCTTGAAGAAGTTTGTTGTTGTTCACTCCTCACATGAAGAGGCCGCCATTGTATTCCTTTCCCAGCATGCACTTGGAGAGTGTTGCAGCTCACTTGTCATTAGATTAAAGAATTTTGACAGAGGGGGTTTGGATATTATAGGTATACATTTTATTAGTATAGATGGATACTAAAAATTTAGGTCTTTTTTAATTCAAGTTTTAAAAAGATCTAAAGATAAAACTTTGCTTGAAATGTTCCTTTTGCTGCATAAAAGTGGAAAAAACATGTAGCTCTAAAAACAAACATACCTATTACTAATTGGTTTAATCCTACCCGAATGTCAGTATAATTTGTACTTTGATTGGTTGCTGAACCTGACATGAGAGATAATCTTCGCGCTGATTGGTCCGTAGCTTCTCGCCAAGTCACGGGTTCGTCAGGAGCAATGAGCTGCAGGATACTCGGCAATCATGGCGGCAGAGATGAAACCAGGTGAGCCACCAGACGACACGTAAACACCTACGAAAAAGTGTCACAAAGTGTGATCTGGAAACGTAAAACCGTAAGATATACTATTGGTGCAACGTAGATTGTGATTGTGAATATGTATGGCTAAAGTTAGTCCATTTAGGATCTCGTACGTGCAGAGATCACCCATAAAAGTCGTTATACCTTATGTGGACAGAGTTTATGGCCTTCAAGTTCAACTCCGCCCCCTTTCGCTTTGTAGCTCTTCAACCCTCCCTCTCAGTCTGCCTCTTCACCATTAGCCACTGAACAGTGTGGAACGTTGTGATTCTTGAGTCGACGTCCCTGCTGTGGTTGCCTTGCTGATGGTCCACAAGTGTGTCCACTATCATTTTACTAGAATCATCACATCATCATCATAAAACTGTAAAAATCTTCGTTTTTGTCTCATTCACAGAACACATTGCAGCAATGGATACAAACATCCTGTTTCAAAAGTACACCATCAATGAAGTGAAGGACACCGAGAAAAGGGTCAGGTAAGAGGATAGATTTTGTCTCTAGGGTAAAGTCAAGAGATTTCTGTACTAATAAGCAAAATGTGTAACCTTACCACTGTAGCAAGCAATATGACCAATGATTATGTCCATACACAAATGATGTATATCGCATCTTTTATGGATACATCAGTAAGAAAATTTGATACCACATGTATCATGCTTTCAAAGAAATGACTGACATTTGCTTCTCTTGGATGGACAGGTCAGACATTGAAAGGAAGAAAGAAGATCTAAGGCAAATGGTTGGGTAAGGACAAATCTTTTTGGGAAGCAACACCTCGTTAAAGATTTCTACAGTGAAGGAATAGTGCTTTAACTTAAGGTGTAATCTAAGCCTGTGTGTTTCTACATTGCATTGAAAGGAGGGTACTTATGAAATCTATTTCTGATTGACTCTCTTTCATCTTGTTTCTAGGGAGAGGTACCGAGATCTGATTGAAGCAGCAGATACCATTCGTGAGATGAAGAACAGTGCAAATAATGTAAGCAGCTGCACTTGTTGTATAGATCATTATGAATTTGATCCTTAAATGCTACATATTATAAAAAGTTTGGGAGATCTTCTGGACTCAGTTTGTGTGATAAATAATACTTTGTGTTACAGGTTGGACAAGCAGTGTCCAGCATGGACAAGTATTGCCAACAACTGCAGAAGAATAAAAAGAATCATGCTAGGGAAAATATGGAGGCTGCAAAAAAGTGAGGTTATGTTTATTGTCCCTGATTATACGGAAGCTTTTTATAACCAACTTCTGTGACTTGAGGTTTCTGTATGTTCACTCATGTTGGATTATTTGCCCCATTAGGGTATGATGTCTAAAGATTTCTCTTTATTTCTTTTCCAGAAAGGAACATGATGCTTTCTATAGCATAGCAGCAGAGATAAAGCTACTTTTGGACATGCCAGAAAGGGTATGTTGCAAGTATTGCAGTATGCTCTTATGGTAATTTTTATTGCATGCAGTTGGTGTGGCATTGTAGAGTTATAAAATGATTATTCTCAACCTAATTTGTTACCTAGACTGATGATGATGATGATGAAACAGCTGGTATGATCGTGATCTCATACTCTTAGATAGATTAAAAATCACTCCAGAAAAAAGATGCCTATGCATGCCAAAAACCATAGTGCACAAGTTCTCTGATTATGTAGCCTTCTTGCCTTACAAACTTGTGTTATCTGTATGTTGTCAGATCTGGAGTTCCCTGGAGGCAGATGAGCTTCTGTCTGCAGCCCGGCTGTACCTCTTGTCTCACCACATCATGACCAGCCTGCACCTGGACTCCCCCTCCCCCCCTCCCTCCACTCAGACCCTCCTCGCATTCTTCCCCATCCTGTCTAGGCAGTGGTCTTACATCAGTCACTTCAAGGTCGCAATCTTACAGGTAGGTGTTTACAGGTTAGGATATACAATGTATAGTAATATCCCTGACCAAAATGTACCCGTGTTACACACC